TGGGCTCAAGCGATCCTCCTGCCTCAGCCTCCCGAGTAGCTGGGACTACAGGCATGCGCCACCATGCCCGGCTAATTTCTCTATATATTTTTAGTTGCCCAATTAATTTCTTTCTTTCAGAGAGCCAGGATTATAGGCGTGAGCCACCGTGGTCGGCCAGGTATCCACCATTTCCCTGTTCCTCCAGGGCCAAAGCTCTTGTCCAAATGTTGCCTGGACATGTCCCTCCTCATCTTACCCTAAATAATGCTGCTTAGGCACTGCCTCTCCTCCTGCATTGTGACGTTATCACTTTCCTTGACCTCAGCAAACTTCCCAGGGCCAACCCAGATGTCCCAGTGCCTGAGATTCGGGGCGACTGCAATCCTACCTCAGTTTCTCATTACGCAACAAAGAGTAGTCATTCTTGATGCCCTGCCTCTCGAATGACTCTTCTGGAATGCTAATCTGATTGCCTCATTCTGTTGCCTAAGAAAAACTTTTCAAGAAGTTCCTATTATCTTTTGGATGCTGGGTCCCTAACCCTCCAGCCTTATCTTCTCATCCAGTGGTCTGCCCAATGCCGGGCATCAGAGGATTTATGTGAGGGGCACATGGCTCTAAGAGCTGGGGCTTTTCTCACTGAGAATGCTGCTACCAGGCACAAAGGGAGATTATTTTTTTTAAAGCATGTTATAAGGAATGAGCACAATTATATGCTTATTATATGCCAAGGGGTACATTGTCTATGGAGAGAAGATAGGCCCCATTTCTCCAGTCATTTAAAATGTGAGGACTAGTAACTTTGGTTTAAATAAGCCAAGTAAACAACCCCCTGCCTAAGAAGAAATTTGTTCTTCTGCCTTTTTCCTCCTCTGAGCAAAGACCCATCTGATGTCTTTATTCTGCTTCTCCCAGATAAGGAGAGATGTGGCATCTGCATTACCAATAAGCCCTTCTATAGAGAGTTCACATTTCCTTTGGTTCTGAAAGGTTCATTGTTTCTACACAATGGTTTATCACTTCATAATTCTGGAAAGCATCTTATAATTCAGCAGTTGTCCGTTATAGTTTACACTATAATGCTATTTTTAATACTAATACTATTTTTAAGTAGACAAACTAAAATGTGCCTATGTGATAAACAATGAATGTGAAAAAGCAATGAACATTATTAATAATTTTTAAAAACCCTCAAAGATTTAAGATGGAAAAAGTAGGTAAGTGCTGAAATATCCCATATATTATAAAACTAATTAACCCTGCTTCTCCTGGAAGAAAAAAAAAATCATTTTAGTCATTTACTTTTATTTAGGTGAGCTTCAAGATGATTTATGAACCTAGTAAAATCTTCATATCCTTTAAATTGATCACTGATGCATTTGAAATAACAGAGATAATGTTTCCTCTTCAGTTCAAGTCCAGGTAAATGATACTGTAAAATGTATTTTAAAATAAGCCAGAGCTTATCTACCCAGAAACTGCCCTTAAAATAAACAAATGAAGGCCGGGCGCGGTGGCTCTCGCCTGTAATCCTAGCACTCTGGGAGGCCGAGGCAGGTGGATTCCTAGAGGTCAGGAGTTCGAGACCAGCCTGAGCAAGAGTGAGACCCCGTCTCTACTAAAAATAGAAAGAAATTAGCCAGACAACTAAAAATATATAGAAAAAATTAGCCGGGCATGGTGGTGCATGCCTGTAGTCCCAGCTACTTGGGAGGTTGAAGCAGAAGGATTGCTTGAGCCCAGGAGTTTGAGATTGTAGTGAGCTATGATGATGTCACTGCACTCCAGCCCGGTGAGACTCTGTCTCGAAAACAAAAAAAACAACAACAAAAAACCAAAACCATATAAATTTTTCCACATGTGTGCCAATATAAAAGTAAACGTATTTTTTGCCAATTTAATAAGTATAAGCTGGCATCATTTACATTTATCACTTGTAAGATTAAACATTTTTCCATGTTTATCAGCTATACTTCCTCTGGGAACTGTCTGCTTATGTCTTTTGTCCATTTATTTTTGTTTTTCTTGCTGATTCATAAGCTCTTTCTATTAATATAATAAATACTCTTCTCATATTTTCCTAGACTCTTGTTTGCAATTCCTTTTGTTTCTTGATATGAAGTTTTTATAAACATGCACATAATCTATCCTTTCCTTTTTGATCCTTTTAATTGATTAGAAAGCTATTTACCTTCCAGATCCCTAATAGTAAGTTTATTTTCTTCAAGTTTTCCAAGGTATGAAGTAATCTATGGCTTAATTTTTTAAAAAATATTTAATCCTTCAATCCATCTGGAATTTATTTGTTTGCGGTCAGAGTTGACACTGCCAACCAGTTATCTTAATATCATTTATTAAGTATAATTGTTTATAACACAAAAGGGAAAAGATGAAAATGTGGGAAACTAAGGTCCTTGCAGTAGGAGATTGGTCAGGGGATTGGAGGGATTAGCCTTGAACGGGAAGGTAGCTCCTTCCTTTGCACTTGGAGGACCCAGGGAAATGCTGGGGGTGGCCGTGGGTGGTTCTGAAGGAGGGGAGAGCAGAAGTCTCCTTAACAGCCTTGATTTTCCCTGACATAGAAGGGGTGGGCTTCCCAAATTCTTCCCAGAGATACTGGGTTTCAGGCTGAGTAACCAGTGGAAACCACATAGAGGTGCTGGGCCTTGAGCTGTTGGAGGTTATACCCCCAGCTCCTCTAGGACCGTAGCAGCTCCAGCACCCACCTCTCCCTCCTGCACTCCCTCCTGCTATTCTTCACTTTTACCGTGATATCCAGCCCCCAACCTCTCCAGTGACAAGCACAACCCAACCAGAATCCTAGAGCAATATCACGTACTTGTGTGCCACCTTTATAATTCACAAGGCATGTCCATCCTTGAACCCCACAACGATCTGAGCTGGAAGGCAAGTAGGCACTCAAGTCCCAAGGGGATTAGCAGGGACTTGGGTGTGGAAGAGCCAGGGCTCAGACCAGGGCTCCGAACTTCAAGCACTCTACTGTGCTCTATGGATGCTCTGGCAGACAGTTTCCGTCATCGCAAGACACTTCTCTCCAGTATGCCCCACTTGATCCTGCATTCTCCCACCATCCTCTACACCCACCTGCTCAGTCCCGACCCTGCAGGTCTCTTCTCAGCTTCCTTTCCACAACCCCTGTGCTGGGTGACCCCCAGGCAAGTTATTTTTTTCTCACCAAGCCTTCAACATATACCAGAAATTGTAACAGAACCTAGGTGTGTGTGCTGTTGTGTGGACAAAGTGAGTTTATGCATGTAAAGAGCTTACAACAGCACCTAACACCAAACTCAACAAATCTCTGCACCAACAGGGTGGAGGGGTTCTGCTGTGAGTCTGTGCTATCCCACCCCACCTGGCCCATAACCACTTCTCCATGATCCTTACATTCACCTCAAAAGGACCTGGTTATGACTCCTCTGTAAGGGCCCTTCCAAACAATTTCACCCTGCTTTAGCCTCCAACTCCACATGCTCACAAGATTCCAAAAAATTAAGAAACAATTCAAGAGGGAAAAACTTAGTAGTCTCAGAAGCATAAAGAACTTCAACAGGTTAAGCATCTGGGAAGGAGACACACAGGACAATGGGGAAAACTTTGCCCTCTATGCAGAGCAGAACAAGGGTACCTCGGAGCCTGAGCTGCACCTTCCATATTTCCTTGCTGCTGGGGACCTGAGGAAGTCTGAGCATGGCAGTGTTCTCCCAGAAATGAGGACCAGACCAAAGGTCACCTATTCTGATCCCCAAACCTCTACAAAACTGGATTTCTAGATGAACTCCCCCCAGAGAAGGGAAAGACAAAGAAGGATCTAGGAGGAAAAACCACTTGGAAGTTGTAACCTAAACTTTTTTTTTTTTTTTTTAATTTCCATGGGCATGTTCTTTCCTTATTTATTTTCCTTTTGGTTTCCCCTGGTTTATAGGAAAGCTCCCCTTGCAATGTCAATTTCTTCCAGGTGAGTAGTGAGAACAAGGGGAAGGGACTTCGTTTCTTTGCTGCTGGGGTATTTTGATCTGTGTTCAGGTAGACAGGAGATGTGTAACAGGAATGATCTGTGTGTGACAGCTGTGGGGCGAGGCTCCGGATGTTGGCGTCGGTCCAAGTGAAAGTGCTGCCTGCTCCTACTTCATAGGGGAAACTACAGAGTCCTTCCCCCAGTGTTCTGCCTCCTTCCCAGTGTCTGTCTCAAGACTAAACAGTCACAGGTGACCCTCTGATGTCTACTTCCCTGACAAGGGTCCTGAGCCTCATCTCAGGTGAAGTTCGGGGAGGGAGGCAGGGTGCAATGGACACAGATTTCCAGACCCTTCTCAATGGATCCAGAGGTTTTAGGGAATCCACATTTCCAAAGTGGCTGAACTCCTCCCCACCCACATCTTGCTAATGATATCATTCCTGTTATTATACATCAAACAGCAACGGAGTATGATGAAACACACTGAGCCTCACCACAGTGGACCCAATCAAGGTCGTGTTCCCTCAGTGACATTCATCTCCCACTGCTACAATTTTTCGTGTCTGTTAAGTGTCTTAACTCTCATTCAGAGCATCTACAAAAAGTAAAGCCACGGAATTAGCATCACGTTTAGCTCTTTTTAAGAGACATGCCTTCTATGTTCTTATTTTCAATGAAAACCAAGCCCCTTCTTTTTACTTTTTATAAAGGGACCAGTAGTTTTCGTCCCCATTTTTGTCTGATGGAAGCAACTACAGGCGGAATGGTGAGAGTCAGCAGAGGCAGGTTAAGAAACAGGGGTGGTTGTTGTGAGCAATGTGGCATCTAATTAGATTTTGTTCTTATAGTTACTTGACACAAACCATACCCTATAAAACCCATGAGAAAATAAACTTTTTTTTCTCTGAATTTTTCTCCTCTTTTAAATCAAATTTCCGTGAATCCTCACAGATCAGCCTCCTTCCCCAAGCCTAGAAAAATTCCAGCAGCACCCCGCTTCTGCCAATCTACTGGGCTTTCTCACCCCTAAGACAGAAATTAGGCTGTCTGAAGGCTAGAAAGTCACAGGTGACCCTTTGATATCTACTTCCCTGGCAAGGGTCCCGAGACTTATCTCAGGTGTAGGGGGGGAGGGAGGTAGGGTGCAATGGACACGCTTCTTTGGATGCCCGCAGCTAAAATAACTTGGAACGAGTGTGTTTCGTTTCTAACTTGGTGAAGAGGGCCCAGCGATCCTGCCCAGGCGGGTCTCCCAGACGTCAGGTAAACTGCAGCCACCTAACAGGTGCAAGGATAGCCCTACTCAAGCGGTGAGGCCCCAGCCCGCCCTTCAATCGCGTGCTTACCCAGCTCGGGCGAGGTGCGCGCGGTGGCCGGGGCAGGATCGCCGGCTTCCAGGCCGCTCCGCCCGCCATCCCGGGCGCGGCTGAGGCTGTAGCTGCTGTAGCCGCGGTGCAGCGCGAACTTGCAGACGCTGCGGCCGCGCGCAGTGCAGTTGAAGAGGTAGCAGGCGAGCGCGGCGGCCGGGGGCGCGGGCCGCCGGGGCAGCTCCACCACGGCCACGGAGCAGCGCGGCTCGGAGCAGCAGGCCGCCACGCACTGCCGCCAGTCCCGCACGGCCGCTGGCGCCCGCAGGAAGCTGGCGCCCGCCGCGATGGAGTCCTTGGTGCGGATGATGGCGTCCGGCATGGCGCTGTAGCCGCCGCCGCCCTGGCCCGGGCAGTCCTCCTGGGGGCCGCCGCCGGCGCGCAGCTCCAGCTCCAGCTCCTCCTGCGGCCGCTCCTGCTGCAGCTGCCGGCGGAACTCCTCCAGCAGCTGCTCCACGCCCGACAGCTGCGCATGCAGCTCGGACAGCGGCGCCACCGGCGGCCCGGCCGCGCGACCGCTCGGCAGCCACAGGCAGAGCAGCAGCAGCCCGCGCAGCGCCCGGAGACGCGACGGCCGCCGGCGCCCCGAGCCCGCGCTCTCCCGGGTGGCGAAGGCCATGGCGGCGGGCAGCTGAGGGGACGAGCCGAGGCGGGCCGAGCGCGGGAGGGAGGCGGGAGGCGGGGGCGCGGGCGCTGGGCCCCTCCTGCGCGGCCGCGGCGGGCGCTAGGCCCCGGCTTCAGAGCTCAGCGCCTCCGGGAACCGGCTGCGTCCCGGAGGCCGCGGGCACGGCGGCGCCAGCGGGAACCGCAGCAGCCGGAGGCATAGCTGGCCCGGCCGGGCACCGCTCCTCTCCCTTGCCCGAGGCCGACGGGCGCCCGGCGCCTCCCCGCCCGGCTCCCCCGCGCGCTGCGTGCTGGCAGGTCGGCCTCGGCGTAGTTCAGCACCCGGGGTCTGAACAGTGGCCGCGCCGGGGACGGAGCCACAGCGAGCCCCGCCCAGGCACGCCCCTCCGTGCGCGGCCCCGCCCCCCGCGTGCTCACGCGGCCCCGCCCACGCACCTGCCTGTGCCTCGCGCTGCGCGGGAGAGTCGGCGGCCTCGGGGAGCAGGGGAGCAGGGGAGCAGGGGAGCCGGGGAGCAGGGGACGGGTAGGCTCTTGGCAGTGCAGCCCGGGAACTGCTCTGGGCCTGCGGTCCTGCCCAGCCGGGGAAGCGTTTATGTCCGGACCTTCAGGCTTTATTAACCAACCAGACCTGCTCAGGGCGACAGCGCCCAGGAGCCTGGGCACTGGTGGGCGGCGGTGGGAGTGGGAGACAGAGTGTCTCTGCACAGATCCTTGTGTTCTCAGGGACTACTCCGGAGAAGGGACGTGCTCAACTAGGGAACCATCAGACAGCGTCATTGGTCCTTCCCCTCCAGCGTCCCTGATGGTTTCCACACTGGGTTCCTAAGCTGCTGTGCTTGGATGGCGCGAGGGAGAGGGCAGTGCTGAAGGGTGTTTGGTCAGTTTAACAGTGTAGCGGTAAGTAGTCAGGTTCGCTTGGATTTCCACAAACATAACTGAAAATCTGGACGCGGCCAGTCGTGGGGACCTGGTGAGTATTTTCTACAGCCTGTGAAGGAGGGGCTTCAGCTGTTAGATCATGTACAATCTAGGGAGTTGTGCTTTAAATGACATGAGGTATTAAAAAAATGCTCAGGGGGCCTATACCTTAGAGTTCTAGCTGTCTGTGAACAGCTTCTGCCTTTTGTTTATTTCTGAGTCAGTTTCTGTTGATTCATTTTTCTCCTGATTATGGATCACGTTTTGTTACTTTTTAGCAAGTCCCCAAATTTTTGCCTGGATGCTGCACATTGTGAATTGATCAGTGTTAAGTGTCTGTCTTTTTTAGATGGGGAAGACTAAATACTTGGATATAGGAAAATAGCACTCTCTGTTATATTTTTTATTTCCAGAGCTGACATTTAGGAACCCATTGCTTGCAGGTCCAGAAAAGAGTAGGAGATAAAATAAGAAGGTAAAAAGAAAAAAATCTGAATTTTACTTGCTATTCTATGAAAGGGAGAAATTATAAACTTGTTTTGTTTTTTTTGGGTTTTTTTTTGAGACAGAGTCTTGCTCTGTTGCCCGGGCTAGAGTGCCGTGGCGTCAGCCTAGCTCACAGCAACCTCAAACTCCTGGGCTCAAGCGATCCTTCTGCCTCAGCCTCCTGAGTAGCTGGGACTACAGGCGTGTGCCACCATGCCCGGCTAATTTTTTTTTTATATATATATTTTTAGTTGTCCAGATCATTTCTTTCTATTTTTTTAGTAGAGACAGGGTCTCGCTCTTGCTGAGGCTGGTCTCGAACTCCTGACCTTGAGCTATCCACCTGCCTCGGCCTCCCAGAGTGCTAGGATTACAGGCGTGAGCCACCGCGTCCGGCCAATTATAAAGTTTTTGAGAGGATGTATTTGAGTGACTTTCAGACTGAAAGAAATGGCCTCTTAGCCCTGAAGGCTGTCTGGACGGTACCACTTTGGGCTGGAGAGTCTTCCACCTATGGGATATTTATTCCACACACCCATACAACTGTAGCCACTTTAGGATGCCCTTTAAGCAATATAAGGATTTTTTTTCCCCCCATAGGCCTTGGAGAGCATGAACAGGCTGGTTATGAGGAGAAGCTTTCACTAGTGCTAAAAATGGCCTCTGAGGGTATCAGCAAACCTTCTAAAGACTACTTGTTATAATAGTTATTAAAATTAAAATAAACATGCATGATAATATGTAATATTAACTAACAATTGTATGATTTCAAAGTTTGCTGAAAACTTTCACATACGTGATTTCATGTGGCCTTCACAAAGATTCGGAGATGGACACACGACTCTCACCACTGCGCTCTGGACAGTGAAAGAGAAGTCAGTACAGAATGAGACCTAGCTCACATGTTCCGTGGTGGAGGGAGCGAGGAGGGGACAGCATTTCTCAGGAGCATTCATTTCCAAATTTCTCCAGCACCACCAAAGATTTTCCCACCTCTGGAAGTCCACAACAGGGTCTTTTTGAGAGACGTGGAAATGATGTAAGTTGTGTTCCACTAACAGTCGTTATTTCTGGCGTGTGAGATGGGGGTACTGAAGGGAAATGTTCACTTTTTTACTTTATAAGACCTTATGTCCATTGATTTTTTTACATGAGCTTGTTGTAAACCACTTTTTATTTTTAAAAAATAAGCTCTGACATCTGCTTCTGCCATCATGAAACAACAGGGATCGGACTTAACCCTGCAACCTGAAATGAAAAATCAAGGGGGGAAAATGTATGAAACAGTGGTTTTCAGACACTAGAGTTCTGATGAGCTGAGCCAGGCTCTCCCGCCTGGAGCCTTCTTTGTCCTTCAGAAGAGAAACAAGTGTTTGTTTAGATTCTGGGGAAATGCTCGGTCAGACGGTCTCAGACCCACACCCTGCCTCTTAGCTCCCGATCTGGGACGCTCCCTGTTCGCCCTTCTGCACTGTCATTTAGTTTCAGTTCATCTTATCTCTCCTCCATCACATCAGCAGAAGCAATGCCAAGGAATGCCAAAGATGACAAAATAGGAATGTGTCACGGGCACTCAAAGCCTTTTGTCCCTTAGGTGCTGGTCCTCCCTGTGATGGGAAGACCCACGACACAGTGGGGAGGCTCTCTCCCAAGGTAGAGGAGGGGTGAGAGGATACATTTCTTTCCCCTTAACTCTAACACACCCTTGCCTGGGCCTGCCCTGCGTTCCATCTGTTCAGCTCAGCTGTGGGAACCAAAATCCGCAAGCAGTTGAGCCCAGCCCTACTTCTGACCAGACACGCAGCATTTCACAGCAGGCTCAGGTAGCCAGGTGTCCATGGAGGCCTAACCTCCTCTGAATCCCCACAGATCAGACCCAGTTTCTAAAACTGGTCTTCTGCCTCCCTTCCTGCTCAACAATCCCCTTTGCTGCTGGGAATGGCACTTAAATCCCAGCCTGGTTGGTTGGGACAGTTAAGGCCTTCTCAGTCACCTTCCACCAGGGGTTAAATTAGACCTAATTGCCTTCAGCTCTGTGGATGGGATCCATTCTCATCTGTGCATAGATCTGTCCCTACCCAAGTCTGAGCACATCCAGTCCCTGTATTCCTGCTGCTGCCACACCACCTACTACCCCAGCCCGTTCTGCGCCAGTGGCCCTTGTCTGACTCAAGCCATATCTCGCCAAGCCTGTTTGGACACTGTAATTTGGTAAGCTCGCTTTTCACCTAGGAGCCCAGGCTTAAAACAGAGACAGACCTGAATCTTAGTATTCTTTTAAGCAACTAAAAGGAAGGAATCATCTCTTACATCAGAAACATTGACCCTAACAGAGTCATAGATGGAGTAGCTTATTTTTCACATCAGATCTCAACTTTGGACTCCACAGAGAGCCCTGGGCACTTTGACTTTAGAGCTGCCAACTTTTCTAAGTTGCTATACTTAAATGTTGGAGGTCTGCCTGGGCCAATCTGGGGAGAACACTATGAGGACAAAGACAGCAATGAAAGAAAGAAAGAAATTCTTAATGTTGGAGCAGTGATGGAGGAAGAAAACTAACTAGTGGAAGAAGTCTGGTATCTAACAGTTCTCTCTCTCTCTCTCCACACTCACACATATCTGATTCTCATCAGAGAAAATATGTAATTTAATTCATCACTGAGTATATTCCTGACAGGAGAGTACTATCAGTTTGTCAAGAATTTTTTTTTTTTTTTGGAGACAGAGTCTCACTCTGTCACCAGGGCTAGAGTACCATGGTGTCAGCCTAGCTCATAGTAACTTCAAACTCCTAGCTCAAGCAATCCTGCTGCCATTTGCCTTAGCCTCCCCAGTAGCTGGGACTATAGGTGTGTGCCACCACACCTGGCTAGTTATTTATTTATTTTTTTAGTTGACTGGCTAATTTTTTCTATTTTTGGTAGAGATGAGGTCTTGCTCTTGCTCAGGCTGGTCTCAAACTCCTGACCTCAAGCGATCCTCCCACCTCAGCCTCTTAGAGTGCCAGGATTACAGGTATGAGCCACCATGCCTGGCCCAGTTGGTCAAGATATTAATGAAAACTGAAACCTCTGCTGAAATTTTCTAAAAATCATTTTTTTGTTGAATGTATTTAATAATATCCATACAGTAAAGTGCACAAATCTTAAATGATCAGCTAGATGTATTTTTAAAAATGAAATCCACCTGCATAAATCTGTCAGATCAAGTTACAGATTATTACCCAAGGTATCCATTATTCTGATTTCTATTACCAAAGGTTCATTTTGTCCGTTTTTGAAATTTATGTAAATGGAATCATAGAGTATATGTTCTTTTGCATCTGACGTTTTCCTCTCAACATCCTGTCTATAAGAGTCATTCATTTTTTGTATAGCAGTAAGCTTATTCTTGATCAATTTCTATATAGTGTTCTGTTTGTGAATATATTCCACTTTATCCTTTCTATGACACATCACGATGTTACTAGATATGTTAATTCACGTGTTAGTCAGCCTGTGGCTCTGTACCTTTGTTTCATGGCACCTAGTGAGTCAGCACAGTTGACTGTGGTTTCTGCACAGCAGTAACTTAACTGTACGTGAAAGTGAGTGTGAACACAAATACATCTCATTAAACCGAAGTAAATATATTCCTAACTCATCTTCTTCTTAATTGAATTTTTAGAATGCCAGCAGCCCCTCTAATTCCATCTGGCGTGGAGGGAAGTCTGATGGAAAGTGTCAGTAAAAATGGTGGTCCCTAATTGACTGTGAGCAAATATCTCACTTTTGCAAACTTTTCAGAATGACCAAGTTGACACATTGTAAAGGCCCCTTCAAAAGCCATGGAAGGAACTCATGCAAATGAGGCACTCTGAAGCTTGGGAAACACACTTCCAAGTGGGAGATAATATATTAGATTGGCAGCCAGACTGTCATCAAAGGTCAGTTTTTGCTATCAAGGATTGGTCTGACATTGTTGCCTTCTCATAGTCCACTGTCGTCTCATTTTGTGTTATGTTCATTATTTGGGATATGTTGACGCACATACGTTACAGGCTTCTTCACCATCTGTGAACTCTTGATGGCATTTGCCCACATCTTAGAGGAATGAGATGTATCTTCACTTATTTGTAAAAAATCGTGTGGGTTTATTTACCTATGTAGAATAAACAAGTTACCCAATTACTAACTTCATTACTAAATTATAAATTGTCCTTATGGGGAGACTTGGGAGCCCGTTGGTAAGTACCAAAGGCTGTGAGTCGGGTTGTCTGTAGCCAGGGGGACAGCCAGCATGTGCTTTCCACGGGCAAAGTGGAAGGAGAAAAGTGCCCTCATTGTTGACATTTCATTTTCAGCCAGTCAGAACTTTAAGTGCAAAAATTCCATCGCTTAGCACCAAGAGAAACAGGCTGGTATTCATGGAAAAGTGCAACAGGATCCTGACGAAGCGATAAAACCCTGAGATGTGGAATGTGCAGTTCCATCGTGGCCACTGGCGGCCTCTGGACTTGCGGAGGCTTGAACTCCTGGAGGTCTGGACACCAGCAGCAGGTGCTGGACAGGTGGCGGCCACAGGGGAGAGTGTGAGCCAGGCCACGCTCACAGGAGCTTGGCAGAGTAGCTTCCATCTTCAAAAAAGACACAAGTGATGGTTTAGGAGACTGAGGAGACCCTGGGCCAGTTCTCCTGGGCTGTCCCTTCCCAATCACTCCTCCTGTCCAAGGGGACCTGTCACTAAGGGACACATTTTTCCCACTACCCCCATGCCTGGCGCTACCCCCACGCCTGGTGCCTGCCGCCTATACCCACCTCCGCCCACCTTTACAATCGCAGATCAGCCCAGGCCCCGCCCCAGACTGTGTGGCTCAGGACTGAAGCTGCTGAGGGAGGGTCTGCGCCCCGCTGAGTGCCTCCTCCCTCTCATGGGCTCTCCAGCCCCCGGGGCCTGTCCAGAGGGAGGGCTTGGCTCCATGACGCCCTGGCCTCGGGAGGGGCTGCAGGCAAACATCCTTCTCTCGCTTCCTCTCAGCCTCTCCTCACCCTGGAAACGACACCCACAACCCTGAATGTGACTGTCCCCATTCATCCCTGGTCCAGCCCAGCTGTGACCGTGGGACTCCAGCCGCAGCTCAGCCCACCTGTCCTCAGAGTCAATTCTGCTTATCCGCTGCCTCAGGGTCTGGAGTGTGCAGGAGGCTGGGTGTCGGGGACATTGCCCAGGGCCCAGCTGGAATTCCAGGGTCTGGTGGGACTGGCCTTGTTCTCAACCTCGACCTGGACACTCTCTGCTCTCAACCTTCCAGCTTAGCTGCTGTGTCCCCAGCCACGTTCCATGGAGTGCAGCCCTGAGTTCCAGCCTTTGCAATTGGGAGTGTCAAGAGTGTTGCAGCCCCTCCTCCTGGGATTATACTCAGTTCCTCTGCTCTCTTCCTTATAAATGAAACCTATTTCCCTTTGAAACATCACCTGGAGCCACCAATGTGTTGCTGGTGCCCGTGGTCCTGCTGTCTGCACGCCACCCAGCATGGGCCCACAGGAACATAGAGCCAGCTCTGAGAATCCCCTGACGCCGCTGCTCCCCTCCAGTGTCCGTCCAGACGCCCTAAGCTTTGGTGTGGGCCCTCCCTTCCTGCTGGCCTGTGACAGTGACAACTCTTCAGAACTCAGAGTGGAGCTGGCCCAGGGTACTACTGTGAAGTGACAGGAGGTCTCGCTCCCCTGTCTCATTCTGGGATGAGGTCCCGTGGAAGGGACGGGGCGGGGGTGCTCTGGGAGTCCCTTCCTGGTCCTCCCACCTCCCCATCTGCCCTGCTCCCCTCCCAATCTGCCCACAGCACCTGTCACTCTAGGCACTCTCTCAGTACAGCCAGTAGGATGGAGCAGGGGAGGAGCAGAGTGAGGCTGCAGCAGATGGACCTGGTGGCCCTGGCCAGGGGTTGGGCTGTGCCTGGGGCCTCGGTGGGTGGTGCTGAAATGGAAACAGGAGAGTGACAGCCCTGGTCCAGGCCTCAAATCTGAGAAGTCGCCTCCTCAGCTGTTGCTGCCCCAGGTCCTCCTGCAGCCCAGACATCTGCACCCTCTGCTGTGTGGCAGCTGCTGGGTCATGTCCTGTCCTCAGGGAGCCCCCACGCTGCTGAGGGAAGCAAGGGGACCCCCATGACCCATCCAGCCTTCCCTGGCAGAACAGGAGGTGATGCCTGAGGGTGGGGTAGGGGAGGGTCTCTGGAGCTGGCATTTGAGGAGGTTTTGGAGGATTTCCAGAAACAGACCAGGTGAGAGGAAAGGAGAAGTGGTTCTAGCAGGAGGGAACAGTCAAGCCTAAGTCTGAAAACGTCATGATGCCCACGGTTTGGAGGCTATTTAGAAAATCACAATGAATGGACCAAAAGTATGTGCAGTGAGGAAGGGATGTCAGGAGGTGAGAGGAGAAAGGAGGACGTTATGTGATACTAATGTCATTATCCACCCAAGAAGAGCCCACCATGAGTGGTTCATTTTGTACACAGACACACAGACACACACACACATGTCCTGGGGTAATTAGATATCAACTCCAGAGATCTACCATATTTAGTTTTCTCACTTACCTGTTGGCTGCAGCATTTTCTCCCAATGCACCAAGAATTTCATAAGCCATCTCCTGCAATCTCCCACTGAGATGTTATGGAAGAACTTGGTCACATCCTTGTCATTCTCCCACTTCTCTTTCATTTGTCTGGCTCTAGGATGTGCCAGTGCCCACTCTCTATCCTCTGAGTCAAAGAGGAGGAACTTCTGTCCATTGAAGCCAAATTGCCAGGATCCAGTGGTGTGCCCATTGGCTTCAAGCTGACAAGACATCCTGACCTCCAGGGTGAGAGGGTCTGTCCCTAGGGGAAAAAGATCAGTTCTGGGCTTGACAAGTCCTGTGCCCCCACCCTGTTCCCTTCCTATCTCCTGGACATGCTCTTTCTGACATATCTTGGATTTGCTCCTGGACCTATTAGGTCAGACCAACATCCCCTCCCCCTTCTGTTTACAGGAAAGCAACAAATGCCTGTAACCTACCACAGTGTCTGCTCTCTGCTGCCCTGGGTCATTGTAAACTTACCGCTGGCTGTATAATTCTCTGGTAGATTGTCGAGTAGTTCCTGTGTGAGGTCTTCCACCACATTGCTCAGTGTTTCTTTCTGTTCTTTCCAGGTGATTGTGCCATTTATTTCCTTCCCCAGGGGACCACAGGGCGTGCCCTTCTTGTTGGCACAGTCATAGTGAAGAAAAGTCTTTTTATCCACCTGGCCTTGAACCTCACACCACCGTGGTGCCGGTCTGAATTTAGGAGTGATGGTGAAGTCATAGGAAAGAGAGTGAGTTTCTGTGGAGCAGAAAGGCAGGTGAGGGCTGCGTGGGAAGAAATGGACCCCCAGATACTGAACCCGCAGGTTACATAAGGAGAGTTCACTGTCATGGGTCACAGGCTATAACACATTGCCAAAGCCCCTGGCATGATGCTCATCTGCTATGAGGATGCGTTGGTGGAACCTTGGACACAGGTATGGTGCACACGGCATGAAATAGAAAATGCAGGACTTGTGGGGCGGGCGCTGGAGGAGGGGATCCAAAGGCTCAGGGCAGTGCACGTGCTGAGTGGCTGGAGTGTGAAACCCAGAACAATGTCCCCTGCACTGTGGTCGGTAGGACAGCCCGGAGGACTCTTGCCTCCCAAGCATGGAAAGAATGCACAATGCGAAGGGCCCCGGCATTGTGAACAAGCTCGGGGATGCCTGTTGCTGAAGGCAGGGTTGGCGCTAGGAGACGGCGCTCCTGAAATGGCTCCCAGTAGTAATGGGCATGAAACGTGCTGAAACAATCTGAGTGAGGCACTGCAGTGTCAGAACCAAGGAGGGTGCAGCGACAGACTTGATTAGAGAGCCACAGAGGGCCATGCCCACGGCCAACCGGACATGGGGTGCAAGAGGCAGAATAGATGGCAGCCAACCCGAATACTGCTGGATTTACATGGTTACAATGACAAATGCTAAACACAGAATGGATGCTCCGGAGGCTGAAGGTAGCACCTTAGGGAAAAACTGGGCTCCCCTGCCCAGTTTTCAGAACTGAGCCACTTCTCAGGCCTAGAACCCATGACAGAAGAGCTCAGGGGCCCTGCAAGCCCTGAGCAAGGTCAGTGGCTCCGTCAGCTCTGCACAGAGCTATCTGGGCCTTCCCTCTGGTAGCTGTACTCCAAGAAAGAGGAAACACCCAGACTTTCCTACTGGATGGTGTGTGCTGACCTGCCCAGGGACTGAGGCACGATCTTGCCCGTGTTACTGAGGAGGCGCCTTTGGAGCAAGGTAGTGAGTGGACACCTGTCCCAGGTCCTGCCCATCGCAGTGTCCTGTGTCCACAGACCCTCTCAATGGTCATTTCCTGGATTTGTACCAGGAATGGACACAGCCTTTGTAGTTAATATAGTAAATATAGGCTTTTCGGGCCATAGGATCTCTCCTGCAATGACTTGACTCTACTCTTGTAGCTTGAAAGTAGCCACAGACAGTACGTGAATGTATGAGTGTGGCTGGACCTCTCACTAGGGCCATGTAGCCAAGGACACCATAAGATCCTAGAGGCACCTGTGGTTGGAAAAGGGGCTTTGTGGAGTTCACGGCAATTCCTAATCGGGGAATCACAACATGGACTCCTAGTGTTCAGCAGCAAGGCCCTCCCACTTGCAGCAGGGAAATGCCACCATTTAAAGTGGCTCTGGTGTGGTTGGGCCCTGGTAGAGACGGGGCCTCCAGCCATAGGGTACCAGTGACCACACAGCCTCGGAGCTGCCCATCACAGGATGGGCTCCTTACCCACTATGTCACTCGGGAGATAGGCCCAGCAGTGAGAAGACACAGGTGACCTTCCTGGGATTGGCAGGAGCCGGGCCAGAAGGAACCAAGAAGCTGTACAAGCAGCTGCCCAGGACACCACACTGTAGTTCCAGCAGCTCCCCAGGGCTCACACCTGTGGCTGTAGGGTGTGTGGCTTGGCCCATGTGGACCAGGAAGCCACAGCAAAGATGGGAGCAGTAGGCCCCAAACCATAGGACCCGTACTACCATCTCATACACCCCACCCAGAATCCTCAGGCAGGGAAGGACCCGCTTCTGACTCTTCACCTTGCAGCTGAGACACCACGTGGAGGTGAAGGATGGGACACCAGTCACTGGTACACTCCACATATCCTGATCTGGGGTCAACATACTAGGATAGTGGCCACATCTGGCCTCCATTGTTTGCAGGCTCTCTTTGCCTGCTTTTGCTCTACAGAGGGACTGCACTTGACACAGAGAAAGAATCAACACCTGCAGGGAAGAAAGCATCCAGTCCATTCCCTCTATGGGAAACCTTCGCTGACTCTTGTGTAAGTAGTGACTATTGCATATGATCCTGTCTCTCCAGTAGACAGAATAGGTGGGTGAGGGCCGGGCATGGTGGCTCACGCCTGTAATCCTAGCACTCTGGGAGGCCGAGGCAGGTGGATCCTTTGAGCTCAGGAGTTCGAGACCAGCCTGAGCAAGGGCAAGAGCCCATCTCTACTAAAAAAAAAAAATAGAAAGAAATTAGCTGGAAAACTAAAATATATAAATATATATATAAAAAAAATTAGCTGGGCATGGTGGTGCATGCCTGTAGTCCCAGCTATTCGGGAGGCTGAGGCAGGAGGATCGCTTGAGCCCAGGAGTTTGAGGTTGCTGTGAGCTAGGCTTAGTCCCAGCTACTCGGGAGGCTGAGGCAGGAGGATCGCTTGAGCCCAGGAGTTTGAGGTTGCTGTGAGCTAGGCTTAGTCCCAGCTACTCGGGAGGCTGAGGCAGGAGGATCGCTTGAGCCCAGGAGTTTGAGGTTGCCGTGAGCTAGGCTGACGCCACGGCACTCACTCTAGCCCGGGCAACAAAGCGACACTCTGTCTCAAAAAAAAAACAGGTCGGTGAGGGACCCCAGGGCAGAGGTGGGTGCCTCTGCTTACCAGCATCCCCAGGGTCATACTGGGGGCAAGGTCCTTCCCATCCCTCCTACTTTAGGTTGTGGGCAGGTTGGCCATGTTTGCTGGGTGTGTGGGGGCAAGGGGGACAAGGTGCCAGTTGGTGGAGGAGGAGGTGGTAGGGCCTTTTCATGGATGGGGAAGTGAGGGAGGCCTGTGGGGGGACAGGGCTGCTGAGGTAGGGAGTAATGAATGGGGAGGGAGGGGGAGGAATTGGCTGGTGAGCCCCTCCCTGCAAAGCAGGTGATATATCCTCTGAGCATATTGCCTCAGGAAGTTCAAGGGTGCAGAAGCTTCAGGGTACTGGAGGGTTAGTGGTGTGGGGAGGGTTGGTCAGATTGGGAGAGCAGAGCACGGCCTGTGGTTTGTCTGTTTGTACTGCCTGCGATTCTACCCCCGACCCGCCTCCCTCGGCCCCATTCTCCTGCCCCGCCCCCGCTTCCTGTCCTAACCAGACTTCCGGCACTCTCCCTACCGGAGGGCGAGTCCAGGGGCTGGGGCTGCAGGGGGCGGCTTGACTTGGGATTCCTGCCTTCTGCAGCCTTCTCGCCCCTCCCACCCTCCTGTCCTGACTTTTTAGCTTTTCTGTCCCTCTCCGTGGCCCAAGGAGAACCAGAGGCCTTGGAGTCGTGGAACCGGCGGGAGGGAGCCCGCGGAGGGGACCCGAGGAGCGGCGCGTGGTTGGGGAGCTCGATCCATCCTTCCAGAAGCCGGACCCCCATTTGGTGTAAAGGCGTCCCCTTGTCACCCTCCTTCGGTCCCAGGCCCCCTCTTGTCACCCCCTTCCGTCCCAGGCTCCCCCCTTTGTCATCCCCCTGCGGTCCAAGGTCCCCAGCGTTTGCTCCCGACCCAGCTTGGGGTCCATCTCCGACTCACCGGCCCGCCCCGCCCAGGCCGAACCCGGCAGCAGAAGCAGAAGAGCGAGGACGGTCAGACCCAGCTCGGAGCCCGCGGCAGGTGCCATTGGAGACCCGGAGCCCATAGGGCGGCGGAGACGGAGCGAGCCGGCGACCGAATGAATCACTCGAGAGGTTCGGAGGCTGTGGCGTGTCTACGGTTACTCCGCCCACGCGGTGCCACGCCAGGGTCCCAGCCAGTCCCTGCCCTCCTTCGCTGCCCCTTAGCCCTTCTTTGCTCCCTCCCTTTCCTCCCGGCCCGCCCCCCACATCCCGGGTGGAATTTTGCTTCTGGCTTTCAGACTCCTTTGCTTAAAAGGCAAGAGGTTCCTGCCGCCTGCACACTCCGGTCTCAGTCGAACGGCCTGAATTCAGCGGTTGGCTGTCCTAGCAGCAAAGATTTGGTTTTTAGAAGGTTCTATCCTGACGGAGCCCCAGACCTGTCATAAACCAAAGTTACGCCTCTTTGGGAAGAAAAGTTCGGACGCTGTCGCCATCTTCAGGCCTCTAGTCACAGTCTTCCCAGGCTTCACCTGGGATTCCCGCCCTCTGCAGCCCTCTCGCCCCTCTCACCCTCCTGTCCTGACTTTCTAGCCTTTCTGCCCCTCTCCGTAGCCCAAGGAGAACCAGAGGCCTTGGAGTCCTGGAACCGGCGGGAGGGAGCCCGCGGAGGGGACCCGAGGAGCGGCGCGTGGTCGGGGAGCTCGATCCATCCTTCCAGAAGCCGGACCCTCATTTGGTGCAAAGGTACCCCTTTGTCACCATCCTTCCGTCCCAGGCCACCCTAGTTATCCCCCTTCGGTCCCAAGCCCCCCTTGTCATCCCCTTTCGGTCCAAGCCCCCAACCCTTGTCATCCTCCTTCGGTCCAAGGCCCCCCCTTTGTCACCCACTTGGGTCCAAGGCCC